TAAGGACAGAGCCGACTTCAAAACCCCTTCAGGCCACTGATCTGAGCCGACATCCGTACGACGACGAACCCAACAGCAGAATACAAATCACCCTCACCCACACGTGGGACCCTCAGCGAGACGCAGCACGGAATCCTTCAGGCAGGAAGGGATTCTAACGTGTTTTAAAAGAATCGAAATCAGGCAGCATGTGTACCCCCGTCACAGCGGAATTGAAAAGGACGCCCATAACGGAGAGGTACTTGGAAATTCACAAATAATCGGGTTTTAAACAGCACACTTGGGTGGAAGGTGTGGGAAAAAGACGAAGCCACCAAGGACATGGGACCTTTCGGGAGGGATGAGCGTTGGATGAGGTCACCAGGGTGGGGCCCTACCAGGAGATTAGTGCCCTGTGAGAGGAGGACCCACCAGAGCAGTCCCTATCCTGGGTCCCTCGGGGATTGCATCGTATTCAGGGGCTGTTTCCCTGGTGATTGGAGACACACCCTTGGCGACCAGCCCAGGCAGACACAGCCCTGGCGTCTGGCTCAGGAGGGACACGCCCCCCCCCATAACCTGGCACCGTTCCCCTGGCAACGGGCCACCCATGCCTCCTACTTCCTCTCCTAAATGCCTGCATGGGCCATCGCTCTCGCCCTCCAAGCACAGAGAGGAACGGCGTGGAGTTAATAACACACCCTCTCTGCCGGCAGCCTCCATGCCAGTGAGGTCAAGATGACCTCCACCAATGACTGCCTCCCTAGCCCATGAGGTCAAGGTGACCTCCACCAATGACTGCCTCCCTCGCCAATGAGGTCAAGGTGACCTCCACCACTGGGATCCCAGCCAGAAGGTGCCTTCAGAAAGGCAGGAAGTGAAGGTTAAGGGTGATGCACCCCCCGCCCTCCAGCTCAACTCTGGGGACAAAGCCTGGGGGCAAAATGAACACATGCATCTGGGCCAGGGTGGAGGCGGCCTTCTCTGTGGCATCCAGGCCTCTTCTTCATGCCCTTGGCGTCACCTCCTGTTTCACCCCCCTTCTCGGTTACAAGGGTGGGGCGCAGAAGTGACCCCATGCTTTCAAAGACAGACTTTGGGGCCACTGAAAAGTGCCCCCTCATCTGTGAGACGCGTGCAAGGTTAGGGACGTCCACCCACAGCGTTAGGGTGGAGAGGAGCAAGATGCGTCCCATCAGGAGATTTAAGTGGCCCCTTCGAGCTCCTGGCGTGGGAGGGCTGGAGAACACAGCGGCGTGAGCTGGTCGTCCAGGTGAGTTGCAGGGCGACACCCTCTGTCACATAATCTTCTGGGATTGCCTGTGACTGGCCCCTTTCTCAGCTGACACCCAAGAGGGCACTGCATGGACAGGGACACCAGGTCGGTTCCATACTGGAGACTTGCGAGCATTCCACCCAAACCACCGCCTGGCGGGATGAGGCCTCCTCGTTCGTGCAACGGCAGTGGGACGTGACATCCTATACGATAAAAGGGTGCTATGCTAATTAGATCGGACGTCTTCCAGATGTCCTTCCGGACAAAGCCACGGTGGCGGGGGCCGAGGCAGAGGCGGTTAGGGGCAATGAGGCCAGCAGGGGAGCAGTTAGGGGACGATCAGGCCGGCAGGGGGATCAGGCCAGCAGGGGAGGGCAGGTGGGGGTAATCAGGCTGGCAGGGGAGGGCAGGTAGGGGACAATCAGGCTGGCAGAGGGATCAGGCCAGCAGGGGAGGGCAGGTAGGGGACGATCAGGCTGGCAGGGAAACAGTTAGGGGACGATCAGGCCGGCAGGGGTATCAGGCCAGCAGAGGAGGGCAGTTAGGGTATGATCAGGCTGGCAGGGGGATCAGGCCAGCAGGGGAGGGCAGTTTGGGGACGATCAGGCTGGCAGGGGGATCAGGCCAGCAGGGGAGGGCAGGTAGGGGTAATCAGGCCAGCAGGGGAGAGCAGTTATCAGGCTGGCAGGGGGATCAGGCCAGCAGGGGAGGGCAGGTAGGGGTAATCAGGCCAGCAGGGGAGAGCAGTTTGGGGACGATCAGGCTGGCAGGGGGATCAGGCCAGCAGGGGAGCAGTTAGGGGCCAATCACGCCAGCAGGCAGAGGTGGTTAGGGGCTATCAGACAGGCAGGGAGGCGAGCGGCTAGGACCCAGCGGTCCTGGATTGGGAGAGGGAAGTCCTGGATTGGAGTGGGTGCAGGTTGGGCTGAGGGACCCCTCTCCTGCACGGATTTCGTGCACCGGGCCTCTAGTATCTCAATATGTACCGTAGGCAACCAGACAAAAATTCTAGAGGGAAACCCTGGAAAGTCTTGGGGGATCAGCAAGAGAAAACATGTTTGCATGCGGGACATATAAGGGCACGTGGCAGGCTAAGCCACGAGACTCCAGGTCACAGTAACTGCGTGGACAAACCCGTAGACGGGCTAAGATTACAATAACGGAAACCAGGACAGGGCCATACACCCCGACAATCCCACTTCTGGGCAGATACTCAGGACGACGGTGAGCAGAGTATCAGAGAGACGGCCACACTCCACGCTCACGGCAGCATCGTTCCCAACAGCCCAGGCTTGGAGACGACGCTGTGTCTATCCACAGGCGAACGGACAGAGAGAGGGGGGTCTGTTCGTACAGTGGGATGCTACTTAGCTTCAAAAACAGAGAAAATTCTGACAGCTGCGCCCAGAAGTGGGACATTGTGCTAAGTGACATGAGCCTGACACAGAAAGACAAACACTGCACAATCCCACCTCTGTGAGCACGGAGACTTGTCAAAAAGCGCCTGTTTTATATATGCTGTCTATACTAGGGGCCCAGGGCACGAATCAGTGCATGGGTAGGATCCCTCGGGGTGGCCTGCGGAGATCGAACAACTGTCCGAGGGGGCAATTTGCATATTAGGCTTTTATTATATAGGGTATATATATATATATATATATATATATATATATATATATTCCCCCAAAAGGTATACACACTTGAATCATTATAAAGGCAGTGTTTATTAAAATAACAATTGATTTTTAAAATTGAGCTATCAGCTGTTACATTGTGTATACCTTTTTTGGGGAATTATATATACACCAGTGGCCCAGTGCACAAAATTCGTGCATGGTGGGGGGGGGAGGTGGTGTACCTCAGCCCGGCCTGCACCCTCTCCAATCTGGGACCCCTCGGGGCATCCCCTGTGGGATTGGGCTTAAACCGGCAGCCGGACATCCCTCTCGCAATCTGGGATCACTGGCTCGTAAGCGCTCACCTGCCTGCCTGCCTGATCGCCCCTAACCACTCTGCCTGCCGGCCTGCATGCCCCCAAATACGCCCCCCGGCGGCCTGATAGCTCCTAACTGCCCCCTAGCAGCCTGCTCGCCCCCCAACTGCCCTCCCCTCCTGGCCTGATCACCCCTAACCACCTCTGCCTCTGTGCCACCACCATGGCTTTGCCCGGAAGGACGTCCGGAAGGTCTCCTGGTCTAATTAGCATATTACCGTTTTATTAGTATAGATACACACACATGTATGACAACACATGACTCAAAAGTGACTGCGACGCAGAGCCATGCAATTTGCAATCCACGATGGCTGCTCTGGCTGCACATTTTTCCTCCCCCGTCCCCAGCAATTTCAGAGACGGAGCCGGCAGCTTATCTCCTGCAAGAATCTTCATTAGCATTCCACTGTCAGGCATCTCCCGGCCTTGTAATCTAGAACGTTCCTGACCCTCTCACTTTTAGCAAGAAACACGGGGCAGCTCTGATCGACCATCAGCTAACAAGCCCCCGGGGACTTGTTATCCGGGGAAAACAAGGAGGGAGAGGGGTGAGGGCACACAGCCCGCACGGCACACAGGCATCCGCCTCTCGCTTTTAAATAATTAAGCTTCCTGTAAACCTTTAATAATTAACCTTCTCTGGGGAGAACCAGATGCTGGTGGATCATCAATTCGCTCAGCCCGGCCGGCACGGCCCACTGGCTGAGCGGCGACCTATGAACCAGGAGGTCACGGTTTGATTCGGTGGCAAGCGGGGTCCCCAGTCGGGGGCGTGCAGGAGGCGGCCGACATATGATTCTCTCTCACCATTGACGTTTCTATCTCTCTCACCCTCCACCTTCCTCTCTGAAATCAATAAAAACGTATTAAAAAAAAAAAGAAAAGAAATTTTGCTCCAGTTTGAATTATTGCTGAAACATTCATAATTCCACCAAGTTTGATTTGGGAAAGGAAAGGCCAAATCCTTCTCTTGTGACGTATTAAAGTCACAATTTGAAGCGGTTCAGCTCTGAATGTCATCTTTATAGAACAGACCACAAGCACAATTCAAATGTTTTTTGGACCTCAGGACTCGGTGAAAGAAATGTGTATTACTTTTATAACAAATATATTTTTATTGATTTCAGACAGGAAGGGAGAGGGAGAGAGAAAGAGAGAGAAACATCAATGAGGAGAGAGAATCATGGACCGGCCGCCTCCTGCACGCCCCCTACTGGGGATCGAGCCTGCAACCCGGGTGTGTGCCCTTGACCAGGAATCGAACTGTAACCGGGGTCATAGGTCGATGCTCAACCACTGAGCCACGCAGGCCAGGCAGCAATGTATAGTACTTTAAGACACCCTTCAAACAACAAGATTGAACCATTCTATATAATAAAAGCCTAATATGCTAAGTGTCCGACCGTCCGTTCGACCAGTCGCTACGATGCGCACTGACCACCAGGGGGCAGACGCTCCGACCAGTAGGCTAGCTTGCTGCTGGGGTCCGGCCGATCGGGACTGGGCAAGACGGGCTGGACACGCCCTGGAGCCCTCCCGTGGGCTCTCCCCGGTCCCGATCGTGCACGGGTGGGGTAACCTCAGCCTGGCCTGTGTTTTCTCCCAATCCGAGACCCCTCGGGGGATGTCCGCAGGCCAGGCCAAGGGACCCCACAGGTGCTCGAATCCATGCACCGGGCCTCTAGTCACGTATAAGAACCTGTGTCCGGGAACCAGAGGAGACTCTTAGGGCACCAGCGGGGGCGGGCGCACCTGGCATGAGGGCCGCGGTGGGGAACAGCTCCTTGAGCTTGGCCTGGCTCTCGTCCACCAGCTCCTCCTTGGTCATGGGCAGCTGCAGCACGTCTATGATGATCTGCGCGGCCTCCAACGCCTTCTTGCCCATCACCAGGGACTTGACGTCCCAGCTGTACTTCTTCCCGTAGCGACCGCAGATTTCTTCAAACGCCACCGAGTACAGCCGTTCGGTGTCTGCGGAGACAAAGGCGAGACGGAGACGGGAGATGATTGGGGTGCGGGCCACGTTCACATCGCGTCTGGGGCGCGCCCTGGCTGGTGTGGCTCAGTGGATACTACGTCGGCCTGCAGACTGAAGGGTCCCGGGTTCGATTCCGGTCAAGGGTACATGCCCGGGTTGTGGGCTCTATCCCCAGTAGGGGGCGTGCAGGAGGCAGCCGATCCATGATTCTCTATCATCATTGATGTTTCTCTCTCTCTCTCTCCCTCTCCCTTCCTCTCTAAAATCAATAAAAAATATATTAAAAAACTAGAGGCCCAGATCGCGAAATCGGGTGAGACCCAGACCCGCTGCGTCAGCGGGACCCCAGACCCACCGCGTTGGCAAAACCCATCAATTCACCTCCTGGTGACCAGTCATTTGGTCGTTAGGGCGTTACAGTCACTGGCCTTTTATAATATAGATTTTTTTAAAAGTCTGGAGCAGAGAAGCATATAGATATACTAGTATATACTAGAGGGCCGGTGCACAAAATTCGTGCATGGGCAGGGTCCCTAGGCCTGGCCGGCGATCAGGGCCGATCCGGGCCTTCCAGCTGCCAGCCGGGGCCTTCCTCCCTTCCGTGCCGCCCCCTGCTTGTCAGTGCACGTCATAGCGAGCGGTCGGTCTTCCGGTCGAACTCCCGCGGGGACATTCTGTATATTAGGCTTTTATATATATAGGTGTACAGGGTAGGTCACGGTCAGGGAAGGAACTAGGGCAACATGGGAACATTTGCAGGTCATCCGCCCGAAACTACACCGGGGCACCCCACTCTTTGCTGGAGAGTCTTTGGAGCTGTGATGTGCAAAGTGAAAAGTGGGGAGAGAAATGAAACCCACGCTATGGCCAAATTGTCATTCTTTTGTTAATCCTCACCCGAGGATATTTTCCCATAGATTTTTAGGGAGAGCGGAAGAGAGAGGGAGAGACAGAGAGAGACACCGATGTGAGAGAAACACATCGATGGGTTGCCTCCTGCACGGGCCTCGAACCCGGGACCCTTCGGTCTGCAGGCTGACGCTCTATCCGCTGAGCCACACCGGCCAGGGGCACACTGTCTTTTACGTAAAGGTGCGCAGACGGGGATGTCAATGTGCATGGGCATCGGGCCTTCCATCCCATGGCCCCTGAGGCCGTGCCCTGGTATTCCCCAGCGTGCCCACAGCCCGCAGCACACGGGGGAGCCAGCGTGTGGTCCCTGCTGTGCGGGTCACGGCCACCTGTCAGATGCTGACCCCGAGTCCAGGTGCCGCCTGGGCTGCTGATTGGCTGAGAATCGGGGGCTCCTACGACCCCCCCACCCCCATCTCAGTTTTGATTGATTTGCGAGGGTGCCTCAGGGAACTTAGGAAACCAGCCAACTACTAGTATTTCCCCGTTTGTTATACACTGACCATCCGCTCAGACGAGACGCGGGGGACAAGGTGCATGGGGGGTGGAGAGGGGGTGCAGAGCTTCCGTGCCCGTCTCCCACGGGAAGGAGCCGATGCGATGGGGGTGTTCATGGGGCTCTGTCACCCGGTGAGCCCTCCGTCCATCTCCTCCAGCTGCCCTCTGGACAGTGGGGACGGGTGGAGCTGAACAAGCCAAGTTCCTGATCAGGGTTCCATCTTTCTGGGGACCTGTCCACAGCCAGAAGCACCCCCCTCCCCGAGTCCCCCCAAAAGGTGGTTTCCCTCCTAAGCTGATCGCAAATGAGTACAGCTTGGGGATGACTCACAAAAGCATCGCACGGTCCTGACACACAGACTAGCTCCGTAAGCACTCGGCAGCCACCTGCCCGGCCTGACGCAGGAACCCCAAACCCAAAACCGGGTCCCCAAGTCCACAGATCGCCCCCTGGGCATCCGGAGACGGAAGAGGTTCCACTCAGAGGCAACATCGGGGCGCCCAGGAGGTGGTTTTAACGCTTCGAGGTTATTGCTCTTGGCGCGAGTCCTCCCCCAGGTCCCTACGGAAATATCGACGGGTTTGATTGGGGGGGCTGCCCCCAGGAACCCCCCAGATTGCATCCGCCATGGGACGCATCTGTTCTAGCGCAAACGGCCGGCAGATACATGTGAAGATGCCCCGCGTCACTGGGCATCGGGGAGATGCCAGTCGCACGGCCATGAGATACCGCCTCACACCCCGATCGGGGGTGGGGGGGGGTGATCGACAAGACAGGGGGCCCTCCTTCGCGGCCGGCGGGCGTGCAGACGGAGCGGCCGCCGTGGAAAGCCGTCGGGCGATTCCTCAAGAAATGAAGACAAGAGCTGCCACGCGACCCAGCAGCCCCTCTCCTGGGGACACACCCCCAAAATTCCAAAACGTACCCACAGAGACAGAGGCACCCCTGTGTGCATTGCCGCACCTTTCACGGGGGCCGGGACGTGGAAACAGCCAACGTGTCCCGCGATGGAGGGCGGGATGAGGAAGACCTGGCCCGTGTACACAGGGGAATACTACTGGGCCATGAAAAAGGATGGAACAGGGCCATTTGCAACAGCCCGACGGGCCTGGAGGACACACTGATGAGGCTGAGGGAGCTACGTCAGGGAGAGAAAGCTAAGAGCCCTATGACCGCGCTCATATGGGGGACATGAGACTGAGGCTCGGGGACACGGGAGCCGTGTGGGGGTCGCCAGGGGGAAGGGGGTGAGGAGGTGGGGGGAGAAGGGGGTGCTAGCATATGGTGGCGGGCGAAGATTTGACTTGGGGCGTTGGGCACACGGTGCCATATCCAGATCTTGTCACATGGAAATCTACACCTGAGCCCGGCCAGTGTGGCTCAGGGGTTGGCTCCAGGGCGTGTCCGGCCCGTCTTGCTCTGTCCCGATCGGCCGGACCCTAGCAGCAAGCTTACCTACTGGTCGGAGCGTCTGCCCCCTGGTGGTCAGTGCACGTCATAGCGACTGGTCCACCGGTCGTCTGTGTGCCCCCTGGTGGTCAGTGCACGTCATAGCCAGCGGTTGAGCGGCCTTAGCATATCATTAGCATATGACGCTTTGATTGTTTGAGCGGCCGACTGGTCGACCGGAAACGTAGCCTATTAGGCTTCTGTTGTATAGGATGAACCAATGCCGCTCCAGTAAAGGTAATAAAATAATAATTAAAGGATATAAATAGAACGGAATCCAGGGGTTTCGGAAAAGGAATGCTGACCCCACACTGTGATGACGGCTCACACCTCGCTAATCTCGCACGCCCTGAGCAAAGCAATTTAATGCTTTTTCTCAACACGTCCTATGCCTTGAAAACAGTCTTATAATTTCCAATGACACGAGGGGGTGTGGGGGGGCGGTGAGGGCCCACCTAAACCCGCTGTTTTCTGTTCCTGATGGTGTCGGTGCCTTAAATATGAAACCCAATCCATCCACTTCCATCCGGAGTCCCCAGCTTGAGCTAAAAACATAACATCGTCACAATCGGGCAGATAAGACCAGCCGACTGCACGCTCCCTCCCCGCTCCCCGCCCCCATCCTGCCCAGACACATATCAGTGAAAACGGCCTATTTTCAACGTGGAACGGCTCTGACAATGACTAACGTAACTCGGCACACGGTGCATGCTGATAAGAGTGCTGCGGTCCTTTTCCTCGGCTGTGCTGATAGGATGCAGGTCGCTGGCTGCTGTTGGATTTTTTTTTTTTAACTCCCTGGTTTGGATCACTGAGACATTCTGCACTGGGTTTCCTTGCCTCCCTGGTTCTCACTGCGTGCCCTCCCCTCCCCGCTGCCGGCAGTGAAAGGGGGGTGAAGTTTGTGGGCCTCCCCACAGCTCTGCAGTCATAGGTGGGCTCAAGTGAGAGTAGAATTGTGTGTGTTTTAAAAATAATTTAAAAATATATGTTTCCTAGAGGCCCGGTGCATGAAATTTGTGCATGGGGGTTGGGGGGTGGGGCAGGGGTCCCTCAGCCCGGCCTGCAGCCTCTTGCAATCCAGGACTGCTGGTTCCTAACTGCTGGCCTGCCTGCCGGCCTGATCACCCCTAACCACTCGCCTGCCTGCCTGATCGCCCCTAACCACTCGCCTGCCTGCCTGATCGCCCCTAACCACTCACCTGCCTGCCTGATCACCCCTAACCTCTGCCTACCTGATCACCCCTAGCCCCTCTGCCTGCCTGCCTGATTGCCCCTAACTGCCCTCCCCTGACAACCTGGTTGTCCCTAACTGCTCTCCCCTGCCTGCCTGATCTCCCCTAACCACCTCTGCCTGCCTGATCGCCCCTAACCACTCGCCTGCCTGCCTGATCTCCCCTAACCACCTCTGCCTGCCTGCCTGATCACCCCTAACCACCTCTGCCTGCCTGATCGCCCCTAACCACCTCTGCCTGCCTGCCTGATTGCCCCTAACTGTCCTCCCCTGACGACCTGGTCACCCCTAACTGCTCTCCCCTGCTGGCCTGGTCGCCCCTAGCCACCTCTGCCTCGGCCCCTGCCACTGTGGCTTTGTCCGGAAGAACATCCGGATGGATGTCCGGAAGACGTCCGGTCTAATGAGCATATTACCCTTTTATTAGTATAGATTGCTTTTTTGTTGTTGTTAATCCTCACCCAAGGATATTTTCCCACTGATTTTTAGAGAGAGTGGAAGAGAGAGGGAGAGACAGAGAGAAACATCGATGGGTTGCCTCCTGCATGCGCCCGACCAGGGCCCGGGCCGGGGAGCATCCTGCCACCGAGGTCCGTGCCCGTGACCGGAATCGAACCCGGGACCCTTCGGTCCATAGGCTGATGCTCTATCCACTGAGCCAAACTGGCTAGGGCTGCACGCCTTACTCAGCCCATCAGACTGCCTTCAGACGCCTGGCCTCCAGAAATATAAGATAATAGATGTGGGTCCTTCTACACCATCAGGTTCAGGATCGGTCATAACAGCAGCCGCCAGACACACACACACAACCCGCCCCGAAAACCACTTAGTCACACAGTGTGGCAGCTCCTTTAAAAAATTAAGTAGAGGCCTGGGGCCTAGAACCACATGCGATAACC